TATTGTCTTTCTATGAGGGGGGCAAGCCCCCCTCAACCCTCCGATGTTGGTCCTACATTCATACCAGTCATCCTGTCAAAATCTGTGCTGATCTGTTGTCTCTCTATGAGGGGGGCAAGGCCCCCTCAACCCCCTGATGTTGGTCCTACATTCATACCAGTCATCCTGTAAAAATCTGTGCTGATCTGTTGTCTCTCTATAAGGGGGGCAAGCCCCCCTCAACCCCCCGATGTTGGTCCTACATTCATCCAGTTATCCTGTAAAAATCTGTGCTGTTGTATTGTCTTTCTATGAGGGGGGCAAGCCCCCCTCAACCCCCCGATGTTGGTCCTACATTCATACCAGTCATCCTGTCAAAATCTGTGCTGATCTGTTGTCTCTCTATGAGGCAAGCCCCCCTCAACCCCCCGATGTTGGTCCTACATTCATACCAGTCATCCTGTAAAAATCTGTGCTGATCTGTTGTCTCTCTATGAGGGGGGCAAGCCCCCCTCAACCCCCAGATGTTGGTCCTACATTCATCCAGTTATTCTGTAAAAATCTGTGCTGGTCTATTGTCTTTCTATCAGGAAGGCAATCTTCCCTTAACCCCTGTGTTGGTGTTCCCTTCACATTACTGTGGTTTCACCCACGCAGTATTCTCGCGGTACAGGTGCGATACCGTCGCGGTATTTGTATCGATCGCTATCAGGTGCGGGACGTCGATGCAAATACCACGGCGGTATCGCAACGGTACCGCGAGGAGAAAACCGCGTACCGCGTACCGCGTACTGAAATGTGAACGGGTCTTAATGCCTACTAGTTGAACTGCCCATAACTGATTTAAACTACTTAAATGATTTGGATTTTAAATGGGTTATTTTATTGACTACAAAGTCTAGACTACATACATTAATATTACATAGCAGCTCAGCTCATAAAGAAGTTGCGTTTAAAGTTTAAGTAATCAACATTTTCTTGATACCGACTTCCTTATTTTAATCAACACTCAAGTTTTTGCCGACCAGGGCCTGCGTTTTCATGTCTTACATTGGCAGTAGTAGTCTTTTGAAGAATACTTCACTTTACTATGAATAAAGTATCCCGAAGACAGCTGCTCTGCAATAAAATCATCATTGTTTGGTCAATGTAATAACAACCTACGTAATCTACTAACAAACAATGTAGCTATCAAAGTAGCTATGCAGAGAAGAGACCAGCAGTAGCTTGTATATGTAATGAAGTACCAGGCGCCTAAGATATATCTGCTGGCATTGCACATTGTTGTTTAAGCTATTTTTATGCCTGCTCATTAGCCATAAATATATTAATAAGTTTAACTAATTACCTGATACTGAGATGCCTTTGAATATTTACATGTTTTGCATTACAAAAGCATCAAGGCTGGACATCGGGATAAGAACTCTGTGCCATTCGTAAAAACTATCAGCGTTATTTTATCTATTAGTTTGGAATGCTCGTTTTATTATTAATTAATTATTTTACAGTATTTGTTTAAATTTATTTTATTATTATTATTATTATTATTTATTAATATTTTTGCAACAACGAACGTAAATATTTTGTATCAGTGACATAATTAGACATACTGCAACGTCAACTCAACCAATGACAGCGACATCAAACTTCAACAGATTGTGTGACATGAATTTTATAATAAGATTTGTTCAAAGAGTTTTATTTACGGTGGCTGCTATCCCTAATTAATAAAATTAGATAATTTTTCTAGTCATCCTAAGGTTTAAGACGACAAAACCTAGCCTATGACACTCAGGATGGTATATGGATTCTTCTCACACTACTCCCATTCAAATCTGTTCAGTAGTTATCGAGTTATAGTGGGTTAAAGCATTGCACATATATACATACATACATACATACATGAACCCTGAAAACATTACACTCCTTTTTTGGTTGGGCAGTCGTGTAAAAACTAATTTAGTTTCGTTAGTGTTCCAAGTTTCCCCGCATCCATTTATACCTTCTACGAATGAGTTTGTGTTTGGGCGTCTATGGAAATCGTCTACCTATTTTCCTTTCCTAGTTTTATTTACTACTTATGAACCGCCCCCCATCCTTTACCTACAAGGCGTAACTTTTGAAGTAATTGACCTGGAGGGTCGTTTTAGGTAGCTCTCGGTAGGAATCTCGTTTTTCATTTACATGGGTATCTAAAAATCCAGTCAAACTTACCACATATGCCGATTAATATAGCCACCTACGAGAACATCCCAGAGAATACGATCATCGCCTCAATGTAGTGCCTTCTGTTCACGCGCGCGTACCAGCTGTGGTGCGCTATCATTATGTACGGGGGTCATGTAACTATGCAGATGGCTGTACCTTAATAAGCCAGTGAAAAAGTGAAACTCACCCCATATGCCGATGAGTGTGGGCACCTGCATGCCGTACGAGAACATCCAGGCGAACACGATCATCAGCGCGATGTTGTGCCTTCTGTACACGCGCGCGTACCAGCTGTGGTGCGCTATCATTATGTAGGGGGGTCATGTAACTATGCAGATGACTGACTCAATAAGCCAGTGAAAAAGTGAAACTCACCCCATATGCCGATGAGTGTGGGCACCTGCATGCCGTACGAGAACATCCAGGAGAAGACGATCATCAGCCCGATGTTGTGCCTTCTGTACACGCGCGCGTACCAGCTGTGGTGCGCTATCATTATGTAGGGGGGTCATGTAACTCTGCAGAGGATTATACCTCAAAAAGCCAGTGAAACTCACCCCATATCCCGATGAGTGTGGGCACCTGCATGCCGTACGAGAACATCCAGGAGAAGACGATCATCAGCGCGATGTTGTGTCTTCTGTACACGCGCGCGTACCAGCTGTGGTGCGCTATCATTATGTAGGGGGGTCATGTAACTGTTCAGGTGATAGTACAATAAGCCAGTGAAAAAGTGAAACTCACCCCAGATCCCGATGAGTGTGGGCACCTGCATGCCGTACGAGAACATCCAGGAGAAGACGATCATCAGCGCGATGTTGTGTCTTCTGTACACGCGCGCGTACCAGCTGTGGTGCGCTATCATTATGTAGGGGGGTCATGTAACTATGCAGGTGACTGACTCAATATGCCAGTGAAAAGTGAAACTCACCCCATATCCCGATGAGTGTGGGCACCTGCATGCCGTACGAGAACATCCAGGAGAACACGATCATCAGCGCGATGTTGTGCCTTCTGTACCTACACGCGCGACTTAAGATAGCCGTGTCAGCATCATCCACCGATGAAATCAAAAGTCTGCCTCTTGCGCGCGTACCAGCTGTGGTGCGCTATCATTAAGTAGGGGGGTCATGTAATTATGCAGATGGCTGTACCTTAATAAGCCAGTGTAAAAGTGTAACTCACCCCATATGCCGATGAGGTCTCGTAGTCGGGGATGACGGTCAGGTAACTCTGAAGGTGACTTTACCAACTGTGGGGCGATTACATATGTAGGCAGAGGTATCTCAATAAGCCAGTGTAACTCACCCCATATGCCGATGAGTGTGGGCACCTGCATGCCGTACGAGAACATCCAGGAGAAGACGATCATCAGCGCGATGTTGTGCCTTCTGTACACGCGCGCGTACCAGCTGTGGTGCGCTATCATTATGTAGGGGGGTCATGTAACTCTGCAGGTGTGGCTGTACCTTAATAAGTCAGTGAAACTCACCCCATATGCCGATGAGTGTGGGCACCTGCATGCCGTACGAGAACATCCAGGAGAAGACGATCATCAGCGCGATGTTGTGCCTTCTGTACACGCGCGCGTACCAGCTGTGGTGCGCTATCATTATGTAGGGGGGTAATGTAACTGTTCAGGTGATAGTACCAAAATAAGCCAGTGTAAAAGTGAAACTCACCCCATATGCCGATGAGTGTGGGCACCTGCATGCCGTACGAGAACATCCAGGAGAAGACGATCATCAGCGCGATGTTGTGCCTTCTGTACACGCGCGCGTACCAGCTGTGGTGCGCTATCATTATGTATCTGAAAAGAAAATAGGCTATGGTTAAAAATTGGGAATAGATGGTAGGTACGGTACTTGTTGAAATTGGTAGCATTGGATAGTCATGTCACAAAATAGAGAATTTAGAGAAGGACTTTTGACTTTTGCGTGCTATAACTTTGTTTGACATACCTACCAACCCTTGAAGAGTAGAGTAGAGAGGTAAAATTTCACAGGTAGAAAAACTTATACCTTTAAACGAGCAAGAATTGTATAATAATATCTATAAATATATATACAGGGTGTTAGAGACGGTGTACCGAAAACTTTTCCGGGCATGATCAGACCATCAAACTGAACAACTTTTACTATGGAGCCAATGGTGGGAAACAAAAAAAAAATCCGACCTCCCATACAAAATTCACGATCAGCTGACTGACTTTGTATGGGAGGTAGGATTTTTTTTTCGTTTTCCACCATTGGCTCCATAGTAAAAGTTGCTCAGTTTCATGGTCTGAGCACGCCTGCAAAGATTTCGTTACACCGTCCCAACACCCCATATTTTCGGGATCTCGGAAACGGTTTCAACGATTTTCACAAAATTGCATAAATAGAGGTTTTTCGGGGCGATAAATCGATCTAGATAGGTTTCATTTTCCAAAAATCGTTGGTTCACACTTTTTTTGTAAATACTTTTAAAACTAACAGCGACATCTGTTGGTGAGTAAGACAGTGTAACCGTTGTAAGTTGTTTTGAAACTAACGCATAGAAAACAAAAACCGAGCGAGCTCGGTCTACCAGCTGGTAATAATAAAGACAGTAGTAGGCACCTAATAAAAACTGAAGGGCAGAAAGGCAATTTGAGAAAAATTAAATCACGTCTTCGTTAAAGTTGTACCTAAGTAATTCAGCTTTATTAAAGCTAAATGCTTCGTTTTTATCAAATTTTATTCTTTGGACGTGATTGAAAATTTCTGTATGAGAATACCAAATCCGTGTTAGGTAGGCGCAATATACGGAAAAACTTGCAAAATTTTCCACCGCACCGCAGGCTGGTTTTGAACTAGCGAACTTCGCCATCTGAACTGGGAGGCCTCTACCATCCGGGCTACAGCGGTTCATTTCGAACTAGCGAATTAAGCAAGTGTATCTTGACCACTTTATTAGGTTGATGCCGAGGGTTGATGAGATTCAAGAGTCCATAGATGATCAGTATAAGTGCCCATAGATAATTTAAGCTAATTAAATTACCTACAACTTAGGTACCTATAGGTATAATGAAGAGGTATACCTAATTAGGCACTTTAGATCATGATTAAGCACCTACTTCTACTGTTAGTGCGATTACCTAGGTGTTAATGATAATATTACGATCAGCATTTTATGTTAGGTGCTAATGCTAAGTTTACTGTTTAGTTTATTTAGGTTTTATAAGTTAAGCGGCTTGGATTGAAATACATAGATATAAACCTTTCTCATGAATTGCTCTTAAATAACTCCATCATTTACAAAAAAATCGCATAAAAATCCGTTGCGTGGTTTAGGAGGAGTTAGTGAATTCAGGTCTTCATTTTAGGTATACTTATTGATGATAAACCTATTGTTTGGCTATAGATACGAGGGATACCGTAGGGATGCCACCGAATCGTCCTCAGAGGCAAGAAGAAATAACGGCAACGCAATTCCCTGGTGCCTATTGTGCCACACATTCAGAATAAATAAGGCTTTTAGTAGCACAGTTACCGCACACCTCAGGAGATTCCTCACAGAGATATGAGGCCTCATTATGAGCAGGCAGAACAATATTCATTGTGTGCGTCTTGCTTGCCCCTGAGGACGCGTGGATGGATGTGAGTGAGCAATTTTGTGAACCATAAACGGAAAACCAGCGTGTATTACTGTGAAATTAGGCATAGGTATGTAGCGACGATAGAGACAATAACTTACCTACAGGAAAATACTGCCAGCCTGTACCTTGGTAGTTGGTAATAACATACCTACTTACCTACTTATTTGTGGGCTTCCGAGCGTAAAGGGTCCAAGTTTCGGCATTTAGTTTCCGAGATACCTACCTATTTGTATTTTAGTGCAATTGGGATTTTCGGCTTTACATCTTGAGTTAGATTTTTTTTTGTTTTTGGTAGTTATTTCATAACAATAGAGGGACTGTACTAGGTTTTTATTAGTTTTACAACTTAGAAGGCCTGTAAAACAGAAAGTTTCACGAAATATATTGGTTTTTCTTGTCAGTAAGATAGAGGAACTCCTGCAGATTTCGAAATTGATCTTAACACAATACCGCACTGATGGACCCTTTTTGCGCGGAAGCGCACATTTTTATTTAATTCTAATTCCAACAATGAAATGAAACTCTTCTCTTTTGTTGAGAAAGTGTGAGGAAATCCTAAGACTGCCATTGTTAACCCAGCGACATTACCGGAATTAATCTTATAGGGAGCGAGATAAGGAAACACCGAGATTTTTTCAACAGCGGGAGATTATTAGCTAATGTATTCGTTTATTTATAAGTACATAGACATACATACCTATAGGGAGGTACCGAACGAAAGACACATGTATTCGTATGTACCTAAACGACCGTCTTTCCCGAAAAAGCTAAGATCAATAAGCCAAACTTAACAACTTTCCATAAGGGCCAAAGGTCAAAATATACTTCCCAAACAACAAAAAAACAGCAAGCATATCTTGGCCACTAACGGGTGGCAGCTTCAAATCTTGCCTGGGGTGGAAATTGTGCTAGTTTTTTAAAAAAAATATTCCTAACATGGAAGTGTTTTAAAATTCAGTGTTCAAGTAGGTACCTGTTCAAAGTGATGGATGAGTGCGATGCTAAGCAGTGACACCCCGACGTTACCGTAGCGCAGGAACGGCACCAGCTTGCACAGCGCGTCCCCGTGGGCCCAGGTTCGAGTCCAGAATGTTTTCATTCAAGTAGTTACCTGTTCAAAGTGATGAGTGCGATGCTCAGTAGTGACACCCCGACACCAGCTTGCACAGCGCGTCCCCGTGGGCCCAGGTTCGAGTCCAGAATGTTTTCATTCAAGTAGTTACCTGTTCAAAGTGATGAGTGCGATGCTCAGTAGTGACACCCCGACGTTCCCGTAGCGCAGGAATGGTACCAGCTTGCATAAAGCATCCCCGTGGGCCCAGGTTCGAGTCCAGAAGCCCGATATGGCAAACGGAAGCAGACGGGAACGGGAACGGGAAACCAGATTCATAGGGACTAAGGATGCTATTGGAGTTGATAAAGGAGCACAACTATTGGTGAACAAGACAGACAAATATCTTCATCATCATCATTGGCCTCATACATCTGTGTCAGACGTTTTATTCAGTGTCTAAGGCCTGAGGCAAGATTTTTCATGGCTGTTTAAGCCGATACGGGAGCGGCATGGCTTTTTGTAGGACGATAGTATTATGTACCTGTTTAAAGTGATGAGTGCGATGCTCAGTAGTGACACCCCGACGTTCCCGTAGCGCAGGAATGGCACCAGCTTGCACAGCGCGTCCCCGTGGGCCCAGGTTCAAGTCCAGATGCCCGATATGGAGAACGGGAGCAAACGGGATCGGGAAACCAGATTGGTAAAGACAAAGGATGCTATTGGAGTTGGTAAAGGAGCTCAACTGTTGGTGAACAAGAAGTTCTTAAGACTTTTAATAGGAACGGGATTATAGATATAGGACGATGTTAGTAGGTACCTTTATGTAGGTTTACGTGACATACTTGTCATTTAATTGGTAGAAGGTGTAGCTCTCTACTTATCGGCTGATTACGACAGCCTTCTTCCCGGAGAACGACAATCACACTCGCGCGACTGCCAGTCGCGTAAACCTACATAATGAGTGTCACACTTGTTCGTTTAATATTAGATACCTGTTCAAAGTGATGAGTGCGATGCTCAGTAGTGACACCCCGACGTTACCGTAGCGCAGGAATGGCACCAGTTTACATAGAGCGTCCCCGTGGGCCCAGGTTCGAGTCCAGAAGCCAGATATGGCGAACGGCAGCACCATCGCGCAGAACAGGAAGTCGGCGATGCACAAACTGGAATTTAAACAGAATATTAATGTACAATCTAATTATTGCAACTATTAGGTACATAAAACATATATCAATACAAATAAGTATTTGACATAACTTGGCAGTTCTTGGATGCAAACTTTTGAAACTTTGTTTGAAACTATCTACGGAAGCTATCTGTCAACCAACAGTCAAGAGATATTATAATATCTTTGAATCCCTACGTTTGAATCAAACATCTGTGTCCTATTAGTTATTTGATTGTTTTAGATTAGATTGTGATTAGAATACTTATGTAGGTATAACTACTGGCTACTAAGTACTATGTTATATCTACAAGGACTTTTAGCTTAATGCAAAGATTTGACCACGGAATTTTGAAATAGGTACATTGTTTTTTATAGGAATCTGACATGTCGATTTCACCATAGCGTACTAGGCAATATTTTCCAAGGATATTTTCTTGTCGTATGAACTAAAGGTAGCTTTTCCATAAGGTTGCCTTCCAAAGAACTATGGGTCGTAGAAATCATAGGTCCGAATAATTTTATAACTAGTGCTTTCTGACCGGGTATCGGGTTTCAGGCGGGTACTTTTTGTAGGTACAGGCTGTAATGAAAGTGGAGCGAATTAGTTAACATAGCATCAAGTAACTCGTATCTATCGCTTTCTTTTAACAACACACTGTTTTACCCGACTGCCTCAGAAGGACGGCTAGGTTATGTTTTTCGAGAGTAGGTAGGACGTAGGTATGTATGTACCTATGTGGACAAGAAATTATTTTTCATTTAATTCAGTGGACATTATTATGAGGTGTCGTTAAATTCGATTCAGCAGCGCAAGTGACACTGAAATATACCGCCATAGCGAATTCATAAATTCAAAATGGCAGATTTTGAACGCAAAATACTTAACTATTCCTATACCTAGCTTCAAAAAATATCTTACGTATCTTCTATCTTGTATCTTGATATAAAAATATCACTTATTGATAGTCATCATTACAGACTTTTTCTAACAATTTTTTATTTTTAGTATAAAAGCGGCTCGGGTCCGGATGTCGGGTTTTTGTTTTTTATTACATCTTGTTAATTACTTAGTGAGTGAATCTATAAACGTATTAGATACCTATGTGTATGAGATATTCTGAGAATTATAGGTAGCATAGTCGGAGTTTCTAATTAGGTACCCATATGAAATATTTGGGATAGTCAAAGTCAGTGCCTGGGTGTCCGAAATTTAATAACGGCGATGAATGTACGGTCTGGATTCCCCCTAGGAATTCTTGGTCGGGTTAGATTGAAGCCGGCCCGGATTCAACCCGGCCCGAAAACAAAAATAAAAATTTATACGTATTAAAAACAAATTAAGTACCTACAATCAGGTAGAAAAATAGCAAACTAAATTAAATATAATGTAGGTAGGTAGGTATATGAAGTAAAACGATTTTCAAAATTGTAAGTAGGTAAAACTTATTTATTTTTGCATACCTAAATAAGTACAGCATAAATCATAATATTAATATAATCACACGTACAAATTGATTTACTTTCTGCATAAGAATCACAGAAAATTTTACTTTTAGATTTCAGGTTAACAACAATTTTTTTGCCAAAATTTAGATAAACAACTATTCTAGTCAAAATCGCTGATTAAGACATTGCAGCATCGTTTTTCTAGTTTCTATTTGCAGTCGCTGTAGCCGACTAAGATAGACATCATCATCATTAAAAAAAAAGTGAAGTCCCGCGAATATTTGAGCGAGAAATGATTGCTTTGCTTATTTCGTTCTGGTGCATCGCAAATGAAAGGACCAACTATTCAGGAGAAAGGGCCCTTTAACTATTCGCATCCTAAATCAGTCTTATAGTTATTTTGAATTTAGTATTAAACTAAATATTATTTTTGGATATAAATTAGGTACCTTTGATTTTATTGCCTGACCTTTACGGACGGTTTTCGGGTCGGGTTGAATACGGGCCGGCTTGAATCTAACCCGCTCGGTCTAATAAAGATAGAGAAGCAGGTAAGTACCACTTACTTACCTAACATCCAGATTAGTAACTAATTTAATTT